TATCTCTTCCTGTGACTCCAAGAAAGTGCCCATTTGCTTGTTTCTGTGCAGTGGACAACTTCAGCAGCATGAAGGAAGTAAAAAACTTTATCTTTGCGCTATGCAAAGAGTTGCTGTTATGAAGAATTATGTTAGAAACTTGCTCTGAAGACTTATAAGATGGGTAGATGGAAAGAGTTTTTTGGACATCTAAGTTTTGTCTATAATTATTTAGGAACTAATTATTCTCTATAAAATAAACACTGTTCTAATCCATTGTCCTGTTCTCATAAAGCCTTACCAAATACGTTAGACCAACTGAGCCAAACCTTTGAATTGCTTTGATTTTCCATCTTCTGCTGCTGAAAGTACCCAAATGGTCTTAATAGCTCCTTGGCTGTTTGCACAGCAATGTGTATGCCTTCTCCGAGATGAAACAAGTTTCCTGCTGAGGAACTGAGGCAATAGTCAGCTGTCCTTAGCTGGAAGGACACTTCATTAGATTCTGTGATGTTAAATCTAACAGATGATGGGAAACCTGATGCAGTATTGGAAGGGGACAGAGCACTTATTTTCACTTGAGTTTAGTACGCAGGCCACTGTATGGCTAGAATACTCTTTATCTTGTTTATTCATTACTACAAAAAAATAATTCCTGCACCTAATAAAATGAACTTTTGCTTTCATTCTGATCTTCATGCCCTTGCAAAAGAAGTTTTGCAAATGATAATAATTCACTGTATTAATTTTCTACATACCTAACCTAAGAAATACATCATGGAGACAGAACCGGTTTGGTGTCCTTTAATGAACCAGCTAACTACAGGTCCTGGGCCTGTATAAAGTGGGAACAGGAAATTATTGCTAGGGCAGCCAGTCCTGGGAAGACTAAGAAAGCAATGCAACATCGCAAATGGTGCTAGAGATGAACCACTCCCACATCCCAAGCAGTTATTTTTTTGAAGAAAGAAATGTTTAGGAATCACATCGCAACAGGAGAGGGGAAAATTATCACCTACAATAGCTTATGAATACAGTCAACAAGAATGATGAACCTGATCTCAGTTGAAACTGAGCCTGTGTCTATTATAAATGTCCTTCTTAGTCCTTATAGGTTATCCTATAGGTTGTCATTCACCTTAATCATCTTCATGTCATTCAGGTTTTCCTGAAATCAGTCTTTCTTAGTGCTGTCTTTCAGGTATGCAGAATTTCCTCTCTAGAGTGTTCTGTCCAATCTGTCTGTCCCCTGGTTTAGAATACACAGATACTGGGAAGCTTTTTTAGAAGTTTATGGTGTTCGAAAAACTGAACCTGATGCTCTTCCTGAAATACTGCTATAGAATCACAGAATCATAGAATTATTTAGGTTGGAAAAGATCTTTAAGATCAACGAGTCCAGGAGTTAAGACTGCCAAGACCACCACTAAACCATGTCCCATGTATGTGTGCAACTGATACATTGGTGTTCAGGTTTGATTATTATAATCAATAACCTTCAGAACAGGATTAGCTTTAAACCTTCATCATTGTGCTTTTTTTAGTCAATGCCTTGGCAGCAGAAAGTACATTATATTTGAGGCCTTTTCCATGTTCTTTTGAGAGCTGCATTGTTCTATGGGAAAGATCTGGTGCTAGCAGAACACAAATAGTAATTTTCACAGACAAAGTAACTACATTTGTATTAAATATGAACTTTAAGAACAAATTAATGTTTTTAGCATCATTAAGTGCTTTTAAATAGCCATTTTTCATTAGTGCAACTATAGACATTTGTTTCAGAATGTTCTATGGAACAGTTGTCCAAAGAAATTAAATAAGTAAATTGAAACTTGAATTGAGTTGAATTGCAGGTTCATTACAGCCTAAGACAATTACTAATTAGAATTGAAGACATTCTTTTGTTTGGAAAGGAAAGATAGAAGTATTTGACACTTTGAAAGTGCCAGCATGAAGTCAATGCACCATGCCAACCACAGATGGGAATATTAGTGAGTAATATGCTGCTGCCACTTTCTTTCTATGCTAATAGAGAACCTTGTTTGTCCAAGCTGTTGGAAAATAATCTGTGCCCTTTGTGTTTCACTGCACACTCCTGTGCTATTGTTTGCATTTCACAGTCTGCTTAAATCAACTGAATGTCAAGGAGAGCATAATTGTTGAGGGCACCTAGTGTACTTGATGCCACTAGGACTCATTTTAAATATATGATGGATCTTTTTATTGCTTTGTTCTCTTCGTGAAATCTATTGTTTATTTACTCATAAAAAGAAAAAAATGATTTATTTAAAAGAACATGAGTGTTCGATAGGGACATGTTTTGACATTATGTCTTCATCCTCTGGTCCAAGTAAATGAGATTTCATATATTATGTCTTATTATACTGGAAAGTTTATAGCTAATAGATTAAATTAATTTAAGTGTAGAACACGTACAGTTAAGAAACGCATCAGTCTTGTGGCCAGAGTATGCTATAGATACCTATAACAAGGCTATATAGATGATGTATCAGTGACTATATGTGATACAAGGTAATATAAGGTAATACAATACTATATGGAATGCAGTGTTTCTAATCAGTCAGGGAACATTGCTGGAGATGCATTACATGGGTATTCATCACATGGTATTTTTTCTGCCAGAAGGCTGTAGTTCAGTCTTTGAATGAGTCTATCCAACTGAGGCTAAGAACATGAAGTCTTCCCTGCTTTGTGAGCAGGCAGGCTCCACTGTGTCACTCCCTGGTCAGTTTCTAGGCTTTATGAGATCTGTCATATCTTTTCTGACGCTTTCTTTATTATAATATCCAAATAGAAGACTATTATGGTTATTACTTCCAAAAAGTTCTTCAACTAGAAGTTGTGGGCTGACAGGGTTTGCAGAGTGCAATGTATAGTTTTCATTGATTCTTTTCTTTCCATTCCCCTAATTTGACAAGAATAGAAGATGAAAGAAGAGGAAAAAAAATATATTTATTTCAGTAATACCCATGAATTCCATGGTCTCATTGTTCTCTGATGAAATCTAACATTATCTCTTACAGTCTCTTCCCATAATGTTTTTTCTTCTTGAAGTAATCTAAAATGCAGTGTTCTAGATTAATAATAATGAAAACAGTAATTTCTCCTTTTTTTTTTTTTTTTTTCCTTCTGTAATGGTTTGGATCCATAGTCAACATTTTTTTTTGTTTTAGGCATGTTATTTTGTTTAAACTTAAGTTTTTTATTTGTTGAGTGTAGCAGAAGACACCTTCTTATGTGTGTAGTATTTGAAGAAACGTAAAAATCAAGAGGTGATCATTAGTCACACAGATCTTCCAGAGAGTTATCTCTAAATTCAACCTTGTATTGTAAAACTTTATTCTGTGTGAGATCCAAAGAGTATCTTAGGAAATGGAGCAGGCATTGAATGCATTTAATTGCTCCCTTTGGGCAAAATGTCCTTACTCTTGTAACCAAAATGCTGTGGGTTCAATCAAAAGAAAAGGTGTCAATGTGATCTAGGATGGAAGAGGAAAGGGCAGACTTACATTTGACCTGTCCACTCCATACAGGAAACTGTTATTATTTCATGCACATCAGGTTTTGTGAGGGACATTAGGTCAAGACTCTTACGATATCTGTTACTCTCTAAATTCTTCCCAGAGCTGTTGGGGTTTAAGTACATTCCTTGCTAGTACTGTTCCCACATTAATTTACTTTGATTTACCCACTATTATTTAAGCAATTTAGCCCCTAAGGATGGAGGGTTAGGTAGCATATGGAAATTCATCAACAAGAAATATGAGAAGAAAAAACATCAAGGTTCTTTTGCATTCTTGATTAATAAAAAAATAATTTTGTTAAAGACATGCAAAGAGAGAACTATGCAAGCTCTTTATAGATCTGAAATAAAGCCTGACAAATTCTGTAGAATATTTGGGCTTCCATACTTGAGACTGACTGAGACTGGGAAAGATTGCTTGTGACAGACACACAAGCAGGGTAGGAGAGATTTCCCTAGCTAGTATCTAAAAATTAACAAATACGAACTTACTGCTCTTGACTGAAAGAACTGGGTAAGGAAACCATCTCTCACTCTGTCTGAGCCTGAGAAGTGCTAGTATTTCTAAGTGTTCTTATTCCCCAGCTTGAAAATGGGATCAGCACAAATACTTCTTTGTGCAATTGACTTATTAATTGTTAATAGTTTAATATAAATAAATATACACTCTTCTCCATATGTTTTTCTGTTACAAGCCTTGGACCTTGACTTTGGCCTTTATCTGGTAACATTCTTCTTGTGGGTTTGGGAAATTAGCATTGCAAATCTGGGGCTGTCTCTTGGGACTCTGCATATGGCTTTGGTATCCCCTGTTTAAGAGTTATGAATTCCAGTTGGAGGCACTTACAGAGAAAGTCTCCTAGACTAGTTAAATGGAGTAAGCAGAGTTTGAAAGGTTTATCGTTTTTAGACCCCCATAAAAGTCTAAAATCATAAGTTTACTCTCACAAAATAGCTATGACATTAAACCCAAGGAAACAAAGCATTTTCATGCCTGCAGTGTTTTTCCTTAGAATAGCTCTTATATTCAAATATCATTATATAATTTCTAAATTAGCTCAGTAAATCTGAATTATGAAAGGAATTGGTCCTCTATGTCAGCTGGATATTAAAAAAAAAAAATCAGTAGCATCACTTGGGTTAATTGAGTCAGCAAGATGTGTTTGACAGCTGATGGATAATTTCTTACAACTTTAAGGATTTATTTTTTTTTAAGCCTAAATAAAACAAGAGTCCAGACTGAGAAAATGTATAAGCAGGGCTCTTAAATCACATCAGTTTTTTTCAGGAGAGCAAAAATAAAATCAAATACCTTCAGAATTTTCCCCGCAACCTTGCATAAACAGCAATAGAAAAATTGCCACTGAGTACTCACATATTACTTGTTAGCACTGAGTCACTTTCTAGCTTTGAGGTTTCACATGGTTCACTAACCTCTTTGCTTTCTGTGTGTGCTGTTGAATTTTTCTCTCCCCAGAGATTTGCCTTTTGACCAAGGGCCGTCGAACTGCCAGTGTACGAGCAGACACATACTGTCGTCTATATTCCCTCTCAGTGGACAACTTCAACGAGGTTCTAGAAGAGTACCCCATGATGAGGAGGGCCTTTGAAACCGTGGCAATTGATAGACTTGACAGGATAGGTATTTTTTTCACCATATTAGGAAATCTTAAAACCTTTCTATCTTTTCTGTGAGGTGCAGAATAAAATGCCCAGATTAAACCCTTTTCAAAATTTTTTCTTTCTGTTACGCTGCAGTAAATGTTCTGTTGATCTAGGAATAAGACATGTCCAGGCAATAAATACTCCAATCATACTCTCAAATAATAAAAAAAAATCTGAGTTTTAGAAAGCTCTCATATTCTTTGAGGATTATTTTGTATACTTTAATTATCACTGGTATTATTTATTACTCCTGTATGTTTCTTTTTGCTGCCCTCAGCACTTAATAGGATTTATGCTGTTTTATGAGCAGTAGATAATATTTTCCTGCATAAATTGTTTACAGATGACATCTATAATGCTGGGAAAAGCTGATGCCTCTCAGCACTCACAAAACCCCGTGTTTGTTGAAGTGAATTAATCCTTTGCAGCAGGGCTCTCATTTTCCTCACAACATGGGCATTACGAGCCTTGATGGCTGCACACTGGCTTTGTTCAGATCTGCTTGCAATCAGAAAAGTAGGCCAATAATATCCAAGTGAAAGGCAGAAGAACATAGCAGATTATCAACACAGATTGTGCAATGTGTGCTGTTGTTCATCAAGACATTCTGGACCTCTCAAGTAGAACATACTAGATAAAATATGTGGTCTGGGAGAATTGCACTCTTATCATCATTATTGATATTGGTTTTAAAATGCAGCTATGCATAAAAAGTAATTTATCCTGTTTGATGGTGTTTCCTCAGCTTCACAAGAAAGCTCCAGTGTAAGGATTTCCCCACATTACCCTTTCTCAATAGGGTTATGTTTGCAGTTTCTTTGAAGTGAATACAGACAGAATTGCAGGGCAGTGTCATTCCGCTGTTCTCTAAGCTGAAGCTGTGATTTGGAGGAAAGCATGTTTTCTTTACTACAGCAGGAGTAAAGAAATTAAATACATGTGTACGGGTTTCTAATATTTAATAGACCTGGTTTAGTATTTAGCAGATTGTAAGCAGTCAGTATTACCACTATTATTGAGACTTTCAAAACTTACAGAATTTGTCTCTCTGGACAAAGACTCTTTGCAAATGTAGCCCAACTCAAAATAAATCTGCTTTAAATAATATTTGTACTAAAGTCCAGTCCATTGCTGGAGTAGCAATCCCATCTGAAGTGCTGAGTTTTATCAACATAAAAAGGGGGCATTTGAGCGCATCTGATCACATAGAATAGTGTCTACGTCTTGCAGACACTGACAGCCATCAGGCAGACATCAGGACACAGTGTACATTATCCTTTATTGTGCAAGCCTCACATTGTTCATGAGTTCGTATCAGTTCACAAACCTTTAAAAAATGATTTCTGGGAAGCTAGTGGTCACTGGTTACTAATGCATACTAATTAGTTCCAGGGAATGTGCTAAATGGCAGGTGTATTTATAACTTATGTAACAGTTTAGTGGAAATTAGGACAGTTTTGCAACAAGAGAGAAGGACATTACACATGCAGAACCCAATGACTTTTTCCACCCTGTTCAGTAAATTACCATGGTTACATTTTCAGAATAACTGTGGTAATCGCAATGCACTGCAAATGGAAACTCCAGGTGTCTTTGAGCACAATGGAGTTGCAAAGCCCCGCCATGCTCGTGCAGGGAGAGGGGGCACTGGGTGTGTGTGAAGGTTAGCCATCAGGAGCTGTGCCAGCACCAGTCACTGTTGAGGTACCCCATGTGCCATATCCTGCTGCAGTGGACTTAGCACTGTTCACTGAGGCTTTTGTGGTACACAAAACCTCGGTGATGGGTACTGAAATTCAAAGTCAGAGGGGGGATCTGCCCCTGCATGTCAGGCTTGCTAACTCTTCTGCCTCTCTGTGAAGGGAAGAAGAACTCGATCCTCCTGCAGAAGTTCCAGAAGGACCTCAACACTGGTGTTTTCAACAACCAAGAGAATGAGATCTTGAAGCAGATCGTGAAGCACGACAGGGAGATGGTGCAGACCATCGCCCCAGTGAGCTTGCAGCAGGTGCCCGCCGTGAACTCCAGCACGTCAGCCTCATCGTCGCGCCCCAGAACACAGTCTCCTCCTGTGTACACCACCAGCAGCCTGTCTCACGGAAACCTGCACTCTCCGTCACCCAGCACGCAGACACCACAGCAGGCCGTCATCCTCTCACCCTGCTCCTACACCACCGCTGTCTGCAGCCCACCCGTACAGAGCCCTCTGGCTGGCCGAACTTTCCAGTATGCCTCACCGACTGCCTCGCAGCTCTCTCTCATGCAGCAGCAGCCGCAGGCACCCCAGCAGCCCCCCGGAGTTGTGCAGAAGAACGAGGTCCACAAAAGCACCCAGGCTCTCCACAACACCAACCTGACCCGGGAGGTGCGGCCCCTGTCCGCCTCACAGCCCTCCCTGCCACACGAGATGTCCACCCTGATTGCCAGGCCTCACCCCACCGTGGGGGAGTCCCTTGCCTCCCTGCCACAGCCAACCCCGGGCCCCAGCGTGCCCCCGGCCAGCCGAGCCAGTGTCCCGCAGCGCGTCTCGCTCTTCCGACAGATGTCCTCGGGAGCCATCCCCCCGAACCGGGGGACTGCACCGCCACCGGCAGCCCTGCAAAGGGATTCTTCGACAGTCTTAAGCACAGAGCCTGAAGGAGACAAACCGCGGTTCGCATCAAACTTATGATCCCTGGTAACTGTGAGCGACGGACTTGTGACAAACCGAGCACCATCCCCAAAACTGTTTTAGCCTGTTTCCTAATGTACCCCAGCAGCCTACTCTACTATGAGAAAAATACTTCAGACAGCTTTGCCCTACGTAACGAATGTAAAGATTATATATATATATAACATACATATATATATATAAAATAATTCAGAAACTTGTTTGAATTCATATCTTCCTTTCTTGCAACCATTAAGGAAGTTTAAATTTAGCTGTAATGTTACTTATTTCTAACATATTGACTTTAAAGTCATTCTAATAGATTTCTGATTTTGAAGTTTGCTATGTCAAGGGGAAATTATCAATATAATAGCAAACTTCAAACAGATATATTAGAAAAAAAGAGAGAAATATCAATCTAACTAACACATAGCACTGACTGAGTGATATTCTGAAACCTTTGTTATTTCATTTATTGCATACATGTTAATTTCTTGTGAAGAATTCAGTTGTATGTAGCATTGTATTTTGTATGTTGGCACTTTCCGTTGGAAATTAGATTGGAAAAGACATAAATTGCAAAACACCTGCAGTCAAAAGGCTGGCACTAGCACTCCTCTGGATAGGTTGTAACCTCATGACATGTCAACACTTCTGTTTCAGAAAACTGAGTGGACTTATATCTTCACACTGCTAAAGACTTTTACAAAGACTATGAATATTGCCATTGTAAATAACTTTTTTAGACCCAAACAGAGATAGCTGCTGTGTGGTGTACCATTGCAAGGTCTTTGTTTAGGAATTTAGGTTTGGCTTTCAATTAAAAATTTACAGTTTTAAAATCTGTTAAAGCTAAGTGCAACACAATTGTTAATTGTAATGCAATGGCTTAAAACCTACAATGTTATTTTACATGCAGTGTTTTATGCAAAATTGTACGCTTGATCCTGAAAACTGCTTCTACTTCACCAGTATGATCACTTCTCCTTGCCCTCAAATCCTCAATAGCATCTGAGAATATTCCATGCATGCTTCAGGAAAAAAAAAAAAAAAAAAGAAAAGAAAAAGACAATAAAAATAAGTTCCGTCAGTAGGAAAAGGCTTTATGGTATGTTAGAAAATAATAACCACTCATTAATTGTGTCTACCTTAAAATTCCTATAATGCTGACTTTGAACCTCTGGTTTAAGTCTAAAAGTGAGATTTTTCATTTAAAGGATTATTTGTAAACCACAGCTTGATTTAGGCTTTCAGGTGCTTTCTGTGTCTTCACTGTAGTTTTGTAGTTGACTGTGGTGTTAATTTACAAAAATAAATATAATATAGCATCAAGTCTGTCTGGAAATGCACGATTTGCTCTTTGTATATTGTAATTAAACGGTTAGTATATCCTAAGGCATGTAGTGTCAAACATAGCCCATAGGTACAAGGTTTATTATTTTTTATGTCTTCAAAACAGAAAGGAAATGGTTACAGAAAGCAGGTTTAAAGCATACTGTTTTGTGAACATTTTGTTTTGTTTGCTCAAACCTTTACATTATCTTATCCACAAAAAAAAAAAAAAGTACTTTCGTGATCATTTGTGCCTGATTTGTCACAGTAAATAGAGATTGAAACTAAACGTGTCATAGTTTAACTCATTGAAAAATCAGCATTATGGATCTGATACAAGCATATATTCTGTTCCTTAAAACCCAGCTGACTCGTGTTAAGGAAATGAATGCAAAGGAGTTCTTATTTTCCTATTAATGCTGAGTTAAATGATGTATGGAAAAATTAAATAACATCACAAACTATGTAATGCAGTGAATCCAGATGTACTTGAGAGCCAAGTAAATATTCTAAAGCTAACAGAGCTTGAGCCCATGCTGCCTGTTACGTCTTTTACTGAAGTGGTACGTCAAATAAAAATTTTAAAGGATCTTCCAATTTTTCCCTGACTCCCACTCACCGGTAAAAAATTACGTAGTTAACCCATTAACATGCTACTGCCATTAATTTAAGTGGCCCAGAGTAGTATATGGGGAAATGATTGCTTAAAAGTGTTTGGAACATTATGGATACGCTTCAAGACCATTTATTTATCAGTACAGTGCCCCTTATATTATTTTAATACTAACAAATTCTGTCAGTTAATTAAGATCATATACTGATCTTTCAAACTGTTTAAGGTTTACATTAATAGGAGTAATGGGGTTAGTAGCAAAATATTTTTATATATATTTTTATTTTATTTTAAGCACTATAAATAAATATTAATTCACATGGTCTTTCAGTGAAACCATAAATAATTTTTAATGACTTTGTAATAGAGTGGAAAATACCTAGCATTTGTATGTTAATTAAAAAAAATGGTACAGGGTATAAAATTATATACGTATATATATATGTATGTATGAATGTATATATGCTTAGATTAAGAAACAAATGACTCACATTCCTGTAATATAAAAGACCATTGCTAGTTTCAGAGCTAACTTATTTTCTCTGTACATAAGTAAGCCCATAAGTATGAAATCTCACATCTGTACAGGATGAAATGTATTAATGAAAAAGGTTGGATCTTATTGCTGCTGGGAAGACTATAGATCTGATTCTTATGATAACTGTATGATCAGGGATGAGTTAGATTTTTTCTTTTGTCTTTGCTCAAGCCATAAATAAATATATATGAAAATTATTAATAAATTGAAAAAATATATAAAAAAATAAGGGCTGGAATTTTTTTGTTCCAATCTCTTTATAACTTCATAATGTGTGCAGTCAGTGTCCTGTTTTGTTGCTTCAGTGTAAAGGTTTTAAATGGAAAGACCTGGCTTTGAAGTAAGAAATGTTCCTACATATCAGAGGACAGTAACAACAAATGTCAGTCCTTATTATGGACAGGTAGGCATTTTGTGGCTCTAGAACAGGCTCTTTTTGAACTGGATTACTTGGGGTTTTGCAAATTGAACATAAATAATGAATTTGCTGTGCTTGTTATATCAGAGGTGTAATCTGCATTGTTGAGGATATGGCTTCAGCATTTTACACTAATTAGTTTTTTCTAAGTGCTGGAGGCTTTACATCCAATTATTTCAATTCCTGTAGTCCAGCCAAGAGTCAGTGTGAGCAATAACTAATGCCAGGTCATTGTCCACAGCAACAGGAAATCTTCTAGGTAAGGAGAGAAGATGGACGATATTAGAGGTGCTCTTAAAAAGTACTATACATATTCCTAAGTATGACCTGGGCTGATCAATTCACATCTGAATCTTCTATGATGAAATATATTACATTGTCACTGCAAACTTTGCAGTTTGTTTGGTTGATTTTTTTTAATTGTTTCTTTTTTTTTTTTTAAGTCTGTCAATACCCTTTCCACCTGTGGTTTGTATTCATTCTATGGTAAGTCATCTTGACAATAGGAATCATAGAATCATAGAGCACTGGGTTGGAAGGGACTTTAGAGCTCATCTATTTCTAACCCCCTTGCCACTGGCAGGAACACCTTCACCAGACCAGATTGCTCCAAGCCCCAGGCAACCTGGCTTTGAACACTCCCAGGGATGGGACAGCCACAGCTTCTCTGGGCAACCTGTGCCAATGCCTCACCACCCTCACAGTGGAGAATTTCTTCTTAATATCTAGTCTAAATCTCCTCTCTGTCAGTTTAAAGCCATTACCCCTTGTCCTGTTACTACATACCCTTGTAAAAAGCCCCTCTCCAGATTTCTTGTAGGCCCCCTTAAGGTACCAATATTTGTGAGACAGTGCTCTATCTTGACTGTATTTCAGATTACCTGATACCTGTACGTTGTTACTCAGAAAGATTAAGAAATATTAAAGGTAAACAAAACCCCCCTAGCAAATCGAAAACCAAACAATAAAGGAAGAGCATTTCATGCATTTTACCAACTAATATTATGCTAATGACTTCCTCCAGGAAGGGCTCAAGTAATTTTAATGGTTCATTTGGAACTTTGCTATTATATCACAGATATAATTCTGGGCAGAAATAGTGAATGCCTAGGAAAAATCCAAGTAAATGGTTTGAACATTCCTTTTTTTTCTCCAGTAGCAACATGTCATTCATCAGGTCCACCAGACAGATTCTGGATGGAACAGCTCAAAGACTTTTGCTTTTGTTGGTGTTTGCTTTGCAAGGCAGAAAGACGTGGACACAATTCAGAACACCTAGCCAAAATCTTGACTGATCTAACATACATATTAAAAAAAAAGCTTTATACAGCCTTTGATAATCTTATATCAATTGACACATAACAATAAAGCAATATTTTGCAAAAAATCCTTTTGTTCTCTGCTGCATGCATGACTAAAGATGGTATGTGCCCCTAAACTCTGTGTAATCTGCTGTGTGGGTTAGAACAAAGATAACCTCGGAGCTAGAAAGAGAAAGAAATGTGTCTTTGGGCCATTTATTTTACACCTTGCTAAGAAAAAGAAAGTTGGCATTGTCAATAGCTGGCAAAACCTGACATATTTAGGGTGAACTTCCATAGTGTAGGCAGTGTTATTACAGAAGATAGCACTGAGCATAGAGCACCATATGTCATCATTTTGGTTACACTGTCTGTTTCAAGTCCATGAGGTTAAACAATAGTTTTATTGCTGCTCTCTTCTGGGTCACTTTTTGCTGTCTTACACTGTACCTAACAGACCTATGCCAGACTGGGATAGTGAGTATGTGGAATATGTAGAAATCCTTCTGTCTTCTAGAACAGCTTTTTTATAATTTCAGCTGTGATAGGTGGTAAAATACATTTTGTCAAGTGTAATGTTGTGTGGTTTGTTTATTTTTCTCAGATGTTTAGAGGAGCTTCTCAGTAGTAATAGAGCATACCAATGTTGTTGCCAAAGAGCAGTGAAAAGAGCAAAAGTGACAATAACAACGAGTAGAAGAAAGGCAAAGAGAAGTGCCTGGAGCAGAAAAAAAGATAATATATTTCTTTGGTATCAGGCGTTTGTGTTGAGATTCCCTGAAGGACAAGAAAGGGATAGGGGAGGAAAGATGACAACATGTCATGTCCTATTAAAGGCTGCCAAGCAGCTCTGTCATGAGGGTAGCAATAAAGCAGGAGGAGGAGAAATCAACCTATTGCTTCCATCACAAATACAACACTTGAACTTGTGCCAGCTGCAGTGTGCGCTTGCAGCCCAGAAAGCCAACCGTATCCTGGGCTGCATCAAAAGGAGTGTGACCAGCAGGCCGAAGGAGGTGATCCTGCCCATCTACTCTGCTCTCGTGAGACCTCACCTGGAGTACTGTGTGCAGTTCTGGTGTCCTCAACATAAAAAGGACATGGAACTGTTGGAAGAAGTCCAGAGGAAGGCCATGAGGATGATCAGGGGACTGGAGCACCTCCCATATGGAGACAGGCTGAAAACGTTGGACTGTTCAGCCTGGAGAAGAGAAGGCTGCGTGGAGATCTCATAGCAGCCTTCCAGTATCTGAAGGGGGGTTACAGGGATGCTGAGGAGGGACTCTTCATTAGGGACTGTAGTGACAGGACAAGGGGTAATGAGTTAAAACTTAAACAGGGGAAGTTTAGATTGGATATAAGGAAGAAGGTCTTTACTGTGAGTCTGGTGAGGCACTGGAATGTGTTGCCCAGGGAAGCTGTGAATGCTCCATCCCTGGCAGTGTTCAAGGCCAGGTTGGATGAAGCCTCAGGTGAAATGTTTTAGTGTGAGGTGTCCCTGCCCATGGCAGGGGTGTTGGAACTTGATGACCTTAAGGTCCTTTCTAACCCTAGCTATTCTATGATTCTATGACTTCTTTTAGGTAATTTGTTTAATTTATTTTGAGAACTAAAAGCAGACAGACCCACTTTTCTGGTTTCTTCTGTTGATGTCAGAGCTGGAACTGCTAGAATGGTTTAAGAGAAAGCGCCTGGAAAAATCACAAAACTGATCGAAATTCTGTGCACTTTTTGTCACTGATCTCATGTATCCTTTTAGCACTTTCTGTATGTTGAAAAGTGATGTAGTAATATTTTCATCTTGATATAAAGCACTGTACTGTGTGTCTAAAAATTATGAGCATTGGAAAATATGCACAAGATTTGTCAACAGTTTTAATTAAACTTCATAATAGGCTGAAGCAAGCTTACTGTTAGTCAGTTCAAATAACAAAGACGGAAACCACAAAAAACAGTGCTGATCAGGACTTGGTGGAGGTTGTGACACAGCATAACCAACATAGAAGATTTCCAAAGATGTTTCTTCCACAGATTTGTTGAACTTAGACCAAATCTTACCCTTGTACAGATTCCCCTATCTTCCTCATTTGCTGTGGCTCATCTCCCATTTCTTTTTTCACACATCCTGTACGTAATTTGTTGACTTCTGGGAGTGAAGCCAGAGCATCACTGTACTTGTGGTGAAAGGCAACAAATCATGACGGTACCCCACAAAACTATGATAAACCTCTTTTTGACAGCCAGAGACTATAATTAGAAATGGTTACTTTCTTGCTTCATAGCATGTCCTGCAAACAGTAAGGGTAAACAGAGCCATGCATTATTTTGAAATCCATTTAGAATAAAATGTCTATAATATCATTGAATTCTACCCATTTGTACATTAAGTTTTAACAGTACAGTTAGGGGATGCGAGCTCATCATGTATAGCAAGTCTAGGATAAATAAATTTAGTACCTACTATGTATGCTTACCACCCTCCAGCAAGTAAATATTGGGAAGAAGCATCCTTAGCATCTAATAACACTCATACAGATTTAATTTTGTGATGGGACATCTCAATAAACATGATGTAAATTTCTTAAAAGTTTATTGGTACTCTTTGGTGTACATACTTTGAAAATATGCCCTTACAACAACATGATGGAAGGCTGTTCAGTGATGTATAAAGAAAAAATAATCTAAATGATAAAGAATATAATAAAACTGAAACATA